ACTATTAGTATTACTAGAGCCACTGGATCCCTTTTATACCTTATAAATTCTATGTGATTAATATTATCAATGATTTCCATGGAACCATCAAACTCGTTGTATCACGTCGTGACACCCACGTTTTTACGATATAGGGGGAGCCGCGGCGGGTCATACAACGTATGACAACAAACTCGGCGGGGGTACAGCTATAACATTGTAATTTGGATTACTTGTGGAAGTTTTTGTGAGATTTTAGTTTTAAATGGCTCCAACGGAGCTAATAGTAATGGATCCCATTTAGAGATTTTAACAATTCATACAGTATTCATTAAATTTATATTCATTTTATATCAAACATTATGTTACCTGATCCACATTCCAATGATTCCTTATTAAATCCATTGAGGGGACTTAAAGCTCCATTCACAAACGTCGCCAAATACACTAGTCATAATCGTAAATAAAACCTATAAGTATAATATCCTTGGTGTTTGGACTTGATGAAGTCATTGCCCTGTCCCCGTTGAAAATTCCCATGGTTCGACTTATTATCTCTTTGCTGTTTCAGTCCATTGTTTCACAAATTAGAATATAGATTGTAGAATAGTAGTACTATAACTCAATTAGATTGATCTGATCACTTCAATAGAATTCAACAATTAACAAATGTTGCGGTGGAACACGTGATCCGCTGCGAATTATATAGAAGTACAACTACAATAAAATTTAGGGAAATGTTACTGTAAATCCAGGAAATTTGCTGTGTCGCAGTGTTATTGAATTTGAAACAAAGACTAGTCATGTCAGATCCTCGCAACACTGCTCAGTCAGATCGCAGGGTGTGATTATACCTGGATGTTGGTCATAATATGCTTTAATTGTAGTTGTACGTGCCGTCACGTTATAATATCGATATTGAATTTCTTCGTAAGGGTTAACGTTTTCTTTTCATTACTTGAATGCATAGATTTTCGCGATATTTGAATTGAATGAGCTTCTTTGCTGCCCGTTTCAATTTAATATCCTAATAGGACGATGACTGAAGTTAGCCTGAAATAGTATTCGGGCGTTTATTTTGTGAACTTTCTGTTGCTGAGGAATTCTGATTAGAAAATTTCCGTTCGTTACGATTTTCACTGCTCTTCGATTTGGCTATTTTTATAATTACGTCTAACACGTGATGGTAGTTCATGTTCTCCTTTTCTGCACTTGTTTCTATACTTATGCTTATGCTTATATGATGTGTATAATTTATACCGCACTAGTAATGCAAACACTGTTCTACAAAAGATGAGGAGTCAATCGATGTTATTTTGCAGCTCCGTTCCCCAAATTCAATCATCTCAGTAGACAAATTCATGTATTGCGCAGTTGTTGCCCTCTTTATGAAAGTTTCCGCTATTAAAACTTGTCCAAAAGTTTAACGAGTCTTAAATTAGGCAACAAAGTGGCATTTTTAGCAGTTCGTTCAGAGGATGCTCATGTGCCCTAGTAAAGGAACCTTCGGTGTTAGCAGAGTGTGTGAAGATATGTCCACTATCCGGGAAGTGTACAGTTTTGAGAATACAATTTGTGACTCCTCATACTTTGCAGAACAGTGTTCGTATACCTTGTTCCAAATCCAACGTTTATGGCGATTCATGCCGTGTTTTCCTGATTTTATGTTGTATTGATGCAAGCTTCTTCTGGGTTGCACAAGTCTCCTAGTCTGCTTTAGAGATCCCGTGAGTGTGAAAGTAATTCCAATATATGTGTACTCACGCACTGATGGTATACGCGTGTCTCCGTAGGCAAAGTTTGTACTATCCTTGAGCAGTGAGCACATACCCTGCCCGGTTGAGCACCATAATTGCTGTTTGAGGAATCAGGAATGAATGTCACGAAGGACAATCCCAGCTTTCCTTATGTGACTCCAAGCTTTAGTAAGTACACCGATTCATAACGACATTTTACAGGTTATCGTTCTGTATTGTCACACACAGGAAAATTAAGACCTTATAAACTTAATCCGTAAGGGCTGCGATCACCTTCGGAATGCAGGTTGAATCATGCATGCCTAGGTTTTAAAAATATCGAGGCAGAAAAGGTGGAGAAAACCACCTTCTCCACGATGGAATCTAATATTACTAAGTTACTACTCAATACTCATGCTGCTGAGGCTATTGCAGAATTCGTTTTTGATTTAGGTTCACGACAACATGAAATCCCGTGCACCACGAATACCTTGACAATGTCCATATTGTTGTTTACGACAGGAGTACACGATTACTAGTACACATATCGGCATACTACAATTAATAATTGTATTGGCAACATTTTAAAAGCTACCATAATCTTAAAAGCGACATTGATTACAATAGAATTTCCGGGCCATCGATCAATTGTTGGTCTGACATTGGATGATTTGAATATTTGTACGGTTTTTGTGTCTTGAGACAACTGTTGAGACATCAGCTGAATGAAATTATATCTACAGAGAAATTCCAATAATTTTATCCCTGATACGATTTCACCTGCTGACTTTTGTTTTGTCTCTTTTAGTGTGTGGGTTACTCGCCACTAGTTACCACCAGTTACCACTAGTAACCACCAGTTACCACTAGTTAATAACTAGTGGTAGTTACCACCAGTTACCACTAGTTACCACCAGTTACCACTAGTTACCACTAGTTACCACCAGTTACCACTAGTCACCACTAGTTACCCCCAGTTACCACTAGTTACCACTAGTTACCACTAGTTACCACCAGCTACCACTAGTTACCACTATTATACTCCCACCCAGCTCTCCCAGGCAGTCTGCAAACCCAACCTCAACGAGTCCCACCGCCACCGAGTCTGAAAAGGGTCATTGTTTGCTGTCAAGTTTAACATCCTCACGGAAATATTGCTGAGTTTTATCGCTTTCACAATATTTACTGCATTTTGTCATTGTTGATTTCTTTGAAAGTCTGCCTGTCGTTTTGCTAGTTTTAATTCACGATTTTCCTATACAGCTTAAAAGTTTGAATTAAATCACATGAACACGACGAATACTGTTATAAGCTAAACCGCTATCTGAACCACTACCTGAACCACTACCTGAACCAATATCTGAACCGCCTTCTTAAACCACTTTTTGAAAATCAAACGATCAATCGATTGAACCACCGGCCAAGTTAAACAACAACAGGTTTTCTAGATTGTTACAGCTTTACAGGCATGTTGTGTCTAATAGCCAATAAAACAAGCCGGATACTGAGTCTAGTGCTATCAGCATCACATAGAACGAGACAAAAGCTACTGTTTTTCATCAGAAACAGCTGTCACGTGACCCACAAAGTCATGTCCGTGAATCGTTTTATCAATATTCAATATGTGATATTTATTGTGATCTGTCCGGGCACAGCTCTTGATCATGATGCAAAGTGAAGATAGTGGTAATGTCTGATACGAGTAGTCTCTCTCTCTCTCTCTCTCTCTCTCTCTCTCTCTCTCTCTCTCTCTCTCTCTCTCTCTCTCTCTCTCTCTCTCTCTCTCTCTCTCTCTCTCTCTCTCTCTCTCTCTCTCTCTCTCTCTCTCTCTCTCTCTCTCTCTCTCTCTCTCTCCCTCTCCCTCTCCCTCTCCCTCTCCCTCCCCCTCTCCCTCTCCCTCTCGCTCTCCCGCTCCCGCTCCCTCTCCCTCTCCCTCTCCCTCTCCCTCTCCCTCTCCCTCTCCCTCTCCCTCTCCCTCTCCCTCTCCCTCTCCCTCTCCCTCTCCCTCTCCCTCTCCCTCTCCCTCTCCCTCTCCCTCTCCCTCTCCCTCTCCCTCTCCCTCTCCCTCTCCCTCTCCCTCTCCCTCTCCCTCTCCCTCTCCCTCTCCCTCTCCCTCTCCCTCTCCCTCTCCCTCTCCCTCTCCCTCTCCCTCTCCCTCTCCCTCTCCCTCTCCCTCTCCCTCTCCCTCTCCCTCTCCCTCTCCCTCTCCCTCTCCCTCTCCCTCTCCCTCTCCCTCTCCCTCTCCCTCTCCCTCTCCCTCTCCCTCTCCCTCTCCCTCTCCCGCTCACTCTCTCTCTTTCTGACGAGTAGTCAGTCACCGTCTCACGATCCGTCTCGGCCGGTCTGTGTTAAGAATATTATCACAGCGTGCTAGGTTTAACAGTGTGCTAGGCTCTGTTTAGGCAGCTTATCAAATTATTGCCTCATTCTCATCATAATAACAAGTCTTACTTCCGAAGCAAGCGCTTATTTTAAATTTCTTATTTATATACAAACATGTTTCCTGACAGATATGTAATTTACGATTTTTAAATTTTTGCGGTTGTTAAATTTTTGAGTGTTTCCCAATTTCAGTGTTCTATAGACTAGAAACTTATCGGGCCGTCTCCAGACCCATGCTTATTTGTATGAAATTATATTGACAATATTTAATTCATGTTAAAATTTACATCGGTACTTGTAATTATGCTTGTCCGAGGAATTTACGTAATATGGAAAGTGTTTATGTACCGAAGGATACGACGAGTCTATTTGTTTGATGGATCTGTTATCTTTGGCCTTCTAATTATAAGGCTTATACTCATTGTCCTAAAACAGTCGTGTTTGGCATGAATATTGATACCTACTCCACATTAATTAATAATTAATCAAAAATAACAATTCATATTAACATGATTAAAATATTGCCATACTTATACTTGACATTAATCACGATTCCTGTTCCTCGATCATTGCAGAATATACGTTATATTTCGTTGCCTTCGTTTGTACTTTTCTCTTTGACGATAAGTAAGCCGCTTTCTAATCACTTAGTCGAACAAAACAGATTGTAATAGAACTTAAATATTTAATTACTGTAACCGTTGTTACAACCATCGTGCAGTGACCTCTAGTGATAGCATGTGGATTGTGGCCGATAAGATTCATGTTTGTGCGATCACAGTAATGAATTATTGCTCCATATACACTACACAGTCTATAAGATTAATGAGATTCAGATGCAAAGTTATTTTAAGATTGACTTCACTTTTGCTCACTGGCTGAAGTATTGCTTGTTCGAGGTGGATTATAGTTTTCTCCGAAATTAACTGCTCTGACCCAGATTTAAAGTATGGTGTGACCGAATATTATTGATAGAGCAATGCCACGAACCCAAGACGCAGATGATCCCGCCAATTTCGACTACACTTCCAAGTTCACTTCAGATGAGATAGAGGAGTATAGAGATGCCTTCTCTGTCTTTGATACAGATAATGATGGGATCATCACAACGAAAGAGCTTGGAACTCTTCTCAGGTATTGCATTGATGCTGACATTTTCAAATCTGGTTCAATCTTGCTGACACGTGATCCAAATTTCCTATTAACAGAAGTACTTCAGTTAATATTCCAGATGTTCCAATTTCAGGTCACTAATTAACAGAAGTACTTCAGTTAATATTCCAGATAGCAAGGTTCCAATTTCAGGTCATTAGGACAGAACCCCACGGAAGCTGAAGTTACAGAAATTATAAACGCTGTTGATGCTGATAAGAACGGTTTTTTGGAGTTTAAAGAGTTTGTGGCTATGATGGGAAACAGAATCACTAACGAGACCATGGAGAGAGAACTCAAGGAAGCCTTCAGGTATATTATAGTTACCACTAGTTACCACTAGTTACCACTAGTTACCACTAGTTACCACTAGTTACCACTAGTTACCACTAGTTACCACTAGTTACCACTAGTTACCACTAGTTACCACTAGTTACCACTAGTTACCACTAGTTACCACTAGTTACCACTAGTTACAAACTCAAGGAAGCCTTCAGGTATATCATACACTAGTTTTAAACTAATTACAACACTACAAATCTATTGCATTTATTGAGTATTATGTAACGCGATGGAAATATTTTAAGCGGGTAATATCCTGTCGGCTGTCCGAACCCAGGATACATAACATGAAGACTTTGTTGTTACTTTGTATGATAAGCATTAATAGGTCAAAATATTTTTTTAAAAAGTACCTGTCACACTCAAGTAAATCAACAGTTACAAAATTCAATTAGATCTCCACTAACTTAAAGGCAGCGTATATTGTGCATCACAGCCTGAATTTCACTAATTTTATGTCACATGCCGTGAGAAAAGTTTAATGTTCAGGCATGAACATAAACTTTGTGCATTAAGGAGTCCTGGCGAAACATTCAGTGTCAACCATGCCTGTAAAAAGGTTCAAGGTGATGGCAGGATGGCCGAAAGCTGCATCATGTCCAAATTCTATTGGCAAAAGGATAGCAATGGCGTACAACAGTTTTGAGAATTTTGCTCGTGCAAAAGGCCTAAAAGTAAAAGCAATCACAGTGCGCATTCAATATTGATGCGCACGCTCAAATTTTGCACGTGAAAGGTGAGAATTTTGCTCATTCGTGATTTCGATTAGATTCTGCTTTCCCACGACAGTTAAATGGCATTATACGTGAATTTAATGCCAACTTGAATGAGTATAAAGTGGGATATTCAGTCAGTGATCGACAGATATGCTTACCTAAACACAAGGAAATGTTTTCAAAGGTAAAATTTCCAAATCGTTGAAATTACCTCTTTATAAATGAAGTTATCAGTGTATATTTGTCTCTCTTTCCCAAACAAAAGGAAACTTTACCACCTTTCCTGCCTTCTTGTCCACCTAAATAAATACTTGAGTCCGGTACAGCATTCGTGGGGTCCGGTCACCAGGTCCCTTGACGCTACTAGTTCCAGCTCTGTGCATCACTGCTAAATTATCCCATATCACGATATCACCCTTCTTCCAGTAGTGTGTATACCTCTCACTTTTCTCTGTGACCTCCAGCCATGCGTCAGTTAAATGAGGGAGAACCCCTGTTCAGTTATCAGAGTGTTGGTTATGTAAGCGCATATTCTACCGTTCTCAGGATGTCGGTATATTCCTTTATGTCTCTTGACTCGGGGATACAGTGCCAAGTCTTCCTCCTTACCTTTTGCAAAATCTGGGATATCCCTAACAGAGACTGTGAAAACGGACTCTGAAAGATGATGCTTTGTCTTTTTGGAGAGCTGTTTGAATACCTCACAGTTGTCGAGAAACAGTGTTGTTGAACGGTTTTCCGCGACTTTGTCCGCGTACAGAATACTGGCCATATACCCATTCTGCTGAAAGTTTCCATCTTTGTGCCAGTAGCAGCAACAATTTGTTTTTCCCTTCCATGTTCCATTTGACCAGTAGTTTGTAACTCTTTGGATTGCTGGAAAGTTACGATCTGGGTCATTGCCTTCAAATGAATCCGGTAAGACAACAATATTTCCAAGCATTTTAGTGAAGTCCACCTGCTGATTCCTGGTCAAGTTTTGATTCTCAATAACTACGACACCGTTCTTGACCAGCTTAGATTTTATGAGGTTAACTTCTTCAGTGCTAAGGTGAGTAACATCTTGAAGACCGCTGTTAATTACATAACCCATGTCTGCATTGTCTTCAACCGGCTTGCAATATCTTTCTTTTTCCACCGGCACAGCATTTTCAAAACAGTTACTGTAAACTGCATTGATTGACAGGGCAGAAATAATCGCTATCATCGACTTCTTTGACCACATTCTGCACCCTTCAGTGAATAAAAATGATGTTATTAAAAGTGGCATTGCAAAGGGGAGGCCTGCCTTCCGAGATCGCATTGTTATTACAAAGGGGAACCCTCGAGTCCAAAATCGTATATCGAAGGGCTCATAATGATCAGGGTAGCATGAAACATGAACAAAAGTAGTTTCGATCCAAGAAAACTTTGAAAAATTTCAATTTTTCTACCGGCTTATCCTCTAAAATCATTTAATTTGTCCAATTTTAGTGTTTAGGGAACGTTACGCCACTTAACGGATGATGCTCGTAAAATATTTGTTCCATCCGTCGATCACGCGACGAGTCCATGACTCGGCGCGCGTCTTGGTAGGTTATAAACCTAGTCCTACAATAGACACTCTGACACTCAGGGGTGTAGGAATGATTGATGAGGGGGCCAAAATCTTAGAGTTTTTCAAATTTAGCACGCGCTTTGGCCACAGCCTGAATTTCAAAACAGCAAAACGTGTAAAAGGCCTAGCTGAAAAAATTTGGCACTATATAATAATAGAGATCATTTTTTAAACACAGTTTCAAGAACGATTAAAATAATACGATCTTAAAGTTAAATGCATATTATTATTGCTGGGGCCTGAAAGCAGCTTTTGCGAAATAAGTGTAGTTCGAAAAAAGGGTGCATATTGCATTCTCTCGAAACAAATTACAGGAAATTTGCTTCCAGAATTGAAATCTAGCAGTAGCAATCGAGCAGTAGCAATGTGAAATGATAAATCCAGAAAGATTTGGTCGTGCCAATTTAATTAAGGGTCAAAGGAAAAGTCCTGCAAATTTAGAAAAATATGCTTACAATTACATTACCTGGGGACCTCAGGCTATCATGTTCATAAACATTTAAAAATGAATTTTATAATCGCTAGGTTCAATTCCTGAACTTTTGATGAATCCTGACATTTAATATCGAAACTTACCTGGCTTTTATCAGAACCTGTATAACTCAACTAACCCATCTCCCACTGAGATAGATAATTATGTAACCAGCAGCGATTTAAAGCAAATCCCACAAGAAATTACGGAAACTCTGGAGGGGCCTATCACGTTGCACGAAATGGACGCTATTGTCAATAAGTTAACCAACAATAAATCTCCAGGTTGGGACGGGCTTTCTGCTGAATTTTACAAAACTTTTTGGATGGATATCAGGCAGATCATGTATAACTCCTATTTAGAATCTATTAACAGGGGATGCTTGTCGCCCTCGCAGAGAATAGGTATTCTTACTCTTATTCCCAAGCCAAAAAGCCCAGCGGAACTTAATTACATAAAGAATTGGAGACCTATTACTCTGCTAAACATTGACTATAAAATCTTCACACATATAGCTAAAAATAGGATTATGAAGGCTATCCCTAGCATAATCAGCAAAACCCAGTCAGGCTTTCAAGCGGGCAGGAGTACAGCAGATAATCTTATTCTCATGTCAATGGTTCTGGAATCATTTAACAACGACACGGAACAAGAGGGCCTCCTTTTACAGATTGATTTTGAAAAGTGTTTTGATTCGGTAGAACATAACTTTGTCTTCAGTACTCTTGAAAAATTGGGTTTCAGCGAATACATTATTAAACTGATTAAAGTGGCTTTTCAAGCATGCTTTAGCTATGCCAATATTAATGGGTATTTAAGCTCGCCTATTTATATTCTAAGAGGTCTTCACCAGGGTAGTCCACTGTCTCCTATTCTCTTTCTGATTGTGGCCCAAACTTTCTCGAATAAAATTCAGATTAATCCTAATATCAGGGGTCTTAACATATCAGGTGTGGAAATATTACAGAGTCTCTTTGCAGACGACACTGATCTGTTTCTGAAAGCTTCAATTGAAAGTGTAGAGGCGGTTATGACAGAACTCAGAACTTTTGCTCAGTGCTCGGGGTGTAAAGCTAACATCGACAAAACTAGATGTATTCCTTTAGGTCGAGCTCGTCTTAATACAACTCTACTAGAATCCCTTCAAAGTTTATACGGCTATAATTTTATAACAAATAACTTCACCGCTTTGGGTATAGTTTATATGAACGATGGCTCACTGATGGATATTGTCAACAGTAATTATAACGATAAATTGATTAAGGTTCAGTCTTGGATAAACCGATGGAGCAAGAGGGATTTGACGCTTATGGGTAAATGCACAGTCATTAAAACCCTTTTCTTTTCCCAATTAACATATCTTGTTTCTCCTCTCCCTCGACCGGATGCTTCCTTTATCAGAATCTTTGACACGGCTATTTTCCATTTTCTTTGGGGTTGCAAACGCGATAAAGTAAAACGTGAGATTATTACCCGAAATAAGGAACATGGAGGCCTGGGACTTTTTTATTTATCTGATTTTATTATAGGTCTTAAAACCAGCCTCATATCCAAGCTACTAAATAATTCCTTTCACCACACTTGGAAAGATATTATGATTATGCAGCTGAAATTTCCTGACCATATCACCATCTCCGTAGAAAACGGTCTCGCTAAAACCAACTGCCATTTTACTCAAGACGTCCTTAATTGTTACACTGAGTGGAAGATAAGTTCGGTAAATGCAGCTTTGGGTTCTATTGATCACTGCGTGTGGTACAACCAAGCAATAACCGACATCGGGGCCAAACTTTGGAACACTCATCTGATTGATAAGGGAATATTTTACATCTCAGATTTCCTTTCTATAGACCAAAGTACAATCCTTAACTACGATATGTTCATTAACAAGTGGGAGTTGTCTCCAAATACTATCTCCAAAACTGAGTACTGTAACATTATCATGGGGATACGGAGATATAACTGCCCCACTATTAACTCAAGGAATATTGAGTTTGTTGACTCAAAAATAAAACTTAAATTTTTACATTCTGTAACTGGACAGGTGAAGGGAAGTAAAATTCGGGATAAAATGTACGACTCTATCTGCCCAAACGAGCTGTCCCCATTACGTCAATGGGTTATTGACCTAAATAATCAACCAATAGAATGGGCGGTCGTTCTTAGCAATCTATTTTTCTTAGTATCTAAAAATTTTAAGTTGATTCAATTTCAGTACAAACTTTTAATGAGGATCACGACGTGTAGATACATGAGACACAAAATGAAAATTGTTACAGATACTCCCATGTGTAGCCTGTGTAACACATACTTAGAAACAATCCCTCATATCTATCTCCATTGTATCCACACAAATAGCTTCATCACAATACTTGAACACTTTATAAAAAGGAAAATCGATAGAAATTACAAAGACCCCAATAAAATTAATTTTATAGTTTGTAATCACACTTCACAAATTATAAATTATTTTAATATTGTTGCCAAATGGTACATTAGCAAAAGATTTCAGGCAGGGGACATGCCGATCTGGCAGGGATATATCAAACTTCTTAAACTTTCACTTACAGGAGACAAAATAGGCCACAAAAGTTCTATTGTGTCGATCTTGGCCGATTAGGGCAAATTGTCCACCCCATTTATATTGCTGTCTTTGTTATTTTATTATCAATGGTTATTGTTACTATCTTACAGTACTACTAACTGTTTTTTGTAGTACATGCCCTGCTTCCTTCCACTCCTAAACTACCTTACAAGCTCTTCCTCTTTTACACCCTTTTCAATCACTTCATTTCACTCATTCACTTCATATCTTATTACCACAGTATCTGCCAAAACCAACATGGCCCATGTGGAAGGGGGCCTTGACGTTGTTGACCACTTGGCCCTGCATCCCAAGCTGACGGTCGGCCTCCACTCTCTAAAAACATACCTTCAGTGAAGGCATATGGTCAGCAAATAGCGATGCCAGGGCTTGGTGTGAACAAATCTTGACCTACTTTCACACCTTTGGGACGACTCTCGCAAATGCGAGAGTAATGACCCCGGGGAGGGCCCCATTGGTTTTAGAAGGTTGCATATTTTAAAAAAAAAGAAAAAAAAAAAAAAGAAACTACTGAGCGCGGCCCAGTAAACAATTACAGTAATACTAATACTAATAGGTCTCACTCTCAAAAAGGGTACAAGTAACATGCAAGGAGGGATAAACTGGAAGAATTCTTGGAAAAATTTGTTTTAAGGAATGAATTTTATCGATGAGGTAATGTCGTCCAAATTGTATTCCAAATTTACATTAGTCACTAATGTAAATTTGGACTACAACTTACAAGGGGCAAACTGTGTCCTGCTAATTTACTCCATGGCATAAAAAAGTAATCAGTAATGCATTTTATAATCGCTAGGCTTCTGAACTTCTGATGAATCCTGACATGTAATATGTTTTGTTTTACCTTACAAGACATTTTTGTGGCGGACCAATTTGCGACGACCGAAATTTTGGCGGTCCGAAAATATGGCGAAATTGAACAAAAACCGTCACATTTCGGACGTCACAGAAAATAAGGGTATTTTTCATCATTTTGTTTTCTGACACAAAGGAAATTCAAAATTTTCTAAAAATCGGTAAAATCATGTTGAAACAAAATGAAACTTATAAATCGATTTCTTCATCTTCCTCTAAGGGGTCCGGCTCGAATCTTTCAGTTTCACTTATTGAGTTTGGTATTAAATTGTTTATCTTGACTTAGTCTATAAGACGTTTATGTTAGCACATAATATATAAATGTAATTTATTGTAAATTTAAAACGTATAACTTGACATTAAATTCATCATGGAATATTGTGTTTATTTGTCCCACCATCATATCACTAACTTTTCAAAAACAAAATGAATCGATGAAGCCACAATTATTGGAATAAGCTAAAAATAATGCGACGGATTCTATTACGACGACCGAAATTTTGGCGGTCCGAAAATATGGCGAAATTTCGGGAAAACCGTCGCATTTCGTACGTTATAAAAATGTCTTGTAAGGTAAAGACCTTTAATTCACGCACCAAAACATTTAATTTTATCAAATTACAAATGTCGTAATACTAATATATTAATATACGTCTCTTATTAATATTAAGTTAAAAAGTCAGGGTAGGGGTGCAGCCGTTGTACTTCAAATTCAATTAAAATAATTGATCACGCTGGATCACGATGTTGTTTTATCAACATCAGCTACCCGTTTAATATCAGAATATGTAATAATAATATAAATTAACAGATTTCTGCGGTTCATTGAAAAATTCTGGTATTGAAAATACTGAACACGGCATAAAAGAGTAACCAGCAATGTTATCTGAATTTTATAATCGCTTGGTTTGCAATTCCTGAACTTCTGATGAATCCTGACATTTAATATCGAAACTTACCTGGTATAGTGGTATGGGGACCTCAGGCTATTATGTTCATAAACATAGAGATTCGGCGGAATGACAGGCTGAGCGCGGCCCAGTAATAATAAGGCCTTTTCTTGTAATATAACGCGATGCGTTACTGGGCCGCGCCGCGCACTCAATTATGCGCAATATGCTTGAACGCTTCTCTGTTCTCGCAACCACAACCAACAACCTCGCTAGATCGGCGAAATGCACTACTGGGCCTCACCGAGCTGCGAATAATTGACATCGTCATAATTATACCTTTTCACAAGAATTTTCTTAAAATTTGGGCGAGCGATCTATATAGTGGGAGCGTGAAGTTAAACAGGATAGGCCAAATGAGGCCAAAATGTTGGCCCCTTTTCCAGATTTTATAGGGGGGTGGTCCTACACCCCTGCTGACACTGTTGCAAGATTATAAAAATAATTGTAGAATGAAATTGAAACGTCTTCAGTGTTCAGGATAACAAATATTAAGTTTAATACGTGTCACAAAATTAAACAACTCAGGCTAATCTTGAATAAGGACACTCCATACCTAACAGTCCTTTTGAAACTCTTCAATAATTCGGTTCTCTCACACTGCCACCCACCAGAGTGTACTCTCACACTATCACCCACCAGAGTGAACTCTCACACTGCCACCCACCAGAGCGTACTCTCACACTGCCACCCACCAGAGCGTACTCTCACACTGCCACCCACCAGAGTGTACTCTCACACTGTCACCCACCAGAGTGTACTCTCACACTGCCACCCACCAGAGTGCACTCTCACGCTGCCATCCACCAGTGTACTCTCACACTACCACCCACCAGAGTGTACTCTCACACTGCCACCCATCAGAGTGTTTGACAAGGACGGTGATGGATTTATCAGTGCTGAGGAATTTAGAACCTTGATGACGTCATCAGGAGACAGACTTACTATTGATGAGGTTTGTTTGTGAAAGTCTTAATCACAATAGTGACAATATTACTAATTTTAACACTACGCATGACCTCATTGAAATTCCGGAATTTTACTTATTCATATATTGCACTATTAATTTTAAGGAATCTAATAGTTTTTCTCGCTAGCCACTAGCAGTATAATTTGCAACCATACTCCCAGGTGAACGACTTGATCGCGTTCGCAGATATAGACGGTGACGGGGTGATAGACTACCTAGAGTTCGTCAGCCTGATGATGAACTTAAACTTTGACGAGCGAAATGCGCAGAGCGCCCCCCAACCCCAAAGTTGCCCCTCAACTCCTGGCTCAGAGACTAGTTCGGGTAGTCGCAGACCTAACGGAGTAGGGTCCAGCCCGCCAGAGATGAAAGCCAAGAAGAAACAACCACCAGTGCAGAGACGTTAACAAGACGGGCAGTTTGGGGAGTAAAGTATTGGGTTTAGTGCACTGGGAACTAGAAGTGGTATATGACTGACTATAGGGATCAGTTTCCAGAAGAACTATAACGGTATTGAGTATTATGGTCATTCAGTGCAGAATTTAACACCATTTGAATGCTCTGGTTCGTGCAGAGAGAAGGAGAGTTACAGAAGAAACTCAACATAGTGATGATGATGTAATTTTATTTTTAGCTTTACTGTATTGATTTGAATTGAGCTTGACAAATTGAAAAGACTGAATAACTGCAATACAACTGCAAAATCTATAGGATAAAAATAAAATTATACTCAAAATCTTTGTAAAAACAGTCGTAACATAGAGCAGGGTTAAAAATAGCTTACCGATAGGTTTTTAGTTAAATAGCGGAAATTGATATAACGTTAAATGCGGATCTGAATTACCCCATTTTGCTGAATTTACATATTTCAAGATGATTCTGTCAGAACATGTACATGCGTTTCATTATTAAAACTAGTATCTACAGTGAAGAGAGTTAGAAATTCAATGGTGTGACAGTTGGCAATAAAAATATTCGAGGGTAAATCTAAAACTGTTGCAAGTCTGTCTAGATGCTAAATTGGTAGAACACAGAATATTTAAATTCTGACATGAACTTTCTGATTAAAAATATCTCAAATAATCCATATCTGTCTTTTGAATTTTAAATTTGGCCAAGGGAACAATATCACTGACCCGACATATAATGCATAATATGGAACACTCAAGACATGCATCATCAGCCGGTCAACTTGAAAACATATAACTTTCAAAGTCATCATCGCTCAGACAGCAGACCAATTATCAATATTAATAACTGAACATCAATTTAAATCTGGGACTGTGCTTCTTTCTATTTACACTACAAAGACCTATAATTGTACATAACTTCATTATAAAGATCTTGTTGCTGTAACTACACATTGAGCATTTTCTGGGCCAATATTTTCCTCTGAAGATTCTCTGTCTGCCATGGGTAAGGGTCTGCCCACACTACGCCTCTATTCCCCGAAGGTCTGCACACACTACGCCATGGTGACGGGCCACATGGCGTGGGTAAAAAAAAAACAGATTCACACAACGAGGCGCGTAGTGTGGGCAGAGCTCCCGCCAGTTGGCGTGGAAACTCTCGGGGAATAGAGGCACGGATTTTAAAAATCCGTCACCACATGGCGTAGTGTGGGCAGACCTTCGGGGAATAGAGGCGTAGTGTGGGCAGACCCTAACATGAGGGCTGTGCCACGGCTAACCTTTTGTGGACAGGAAGGATCCACTGCACTGATTATATTGAAATTACATATATTCAATTTCAGTATAATAGATGCGCGCGACTCGACACGATTTCCCCAAAACAAGACCCGCGGCACAGCCCTGGTGACGTCACACCACGTGGTAAAATAATTCAAAATATTTACACATTGACAATTAAACTGACACGGACATATGTCCGCTTATATGAACTATCTGTTCTTATCATGACGCAATAAGATTAACGTCACCGTTGTTTTCTGTTGTTCTCTCTTTGACAATAATATCCCCGTCCAGTTTGTCAACAGATTCCGTTTCTGTTTCTTCTGGTTCTTTCTCTTTCTCTGAGCTCTTACTCGTCTCTTCGCCTGCAAAATTAAAGCACTCGTTTTAAACACACTCATTAGTTATTGGACAGCATGAATTTCGAACAAGTTTTCAGGAGAAATGAGAACGTAATTTTAACACAGCCAAATCTTATTCCCAAAGAAATTCAAAATAAGCTGTAACTTACTATAGAGGTAGAGAATAGACTCGCAAGCAAACTTGAAGAGTGGGTAATTCTGTATGAGCTTAGGACGCTGGTCTCTGAGAGCAGTTACCATGTCAAGGGGGTAGACCCCACACTTAGATTCTATCAGGTTCAGAGCGCCTTCTAGCAGAGCCACTACTCCTGTCCGTCCTATACCCTCACTGAAATTGGGAGCTTTTAAAGTGGATCCGACGCAAGTACACCAATAAGTATCTTAGTCGAATCTAGTCGTATTTTAATCCCACAATTTTGGCGTCAGCTAAACTTATTAGACCAACTGTTTTTAATTGACATGGTAAAAAATGTCTGATCATCTTAGTTTTACCTGTACGTAATGCAGGTAACTTGAACAAATCAATCTAAAACACGATGAGTTGGCCGTTGGATTTAAACACTTGAATTTCTGTGTACCTATAATCATAATGATAATGCAAACACATGATTCCAATTAAGATCCGTTCTTATCTAAAATGGTTAAGCCTAAAAGTAACCAATTTACCTGCAATGCACGAGAACGGGTGTTTCCACAATTTACCTGCAATACACGAGAACGGGTGTTTCCACAATTTACCTGCAATGCACGAGAACGGGTGTTTCCACAATTTACCTGCAATGCACGAGAACGGGTGTTTCCACAATTTACCTGCAATGCACGAGAACGGATGTTTCCACAATTTACCTGCAATGCACGAGAACGGATGTTTCCACAATTTACCTGCAATGCACGAGAACGGATGTTTCCACAATTTACCTGCAATGCACGAGAACGGATGTTTCCACAATTTACCTGCAATGCACGAGAACGGGTGTTTCCACAATTTACCTGCAATGCACGAGAACGGGTGTTTCCACAATTTACCTGCAATGCACGAGAACGGGTGTTTCCACAATTTACCTGCAATGCACGAGAACGGGTGTTTCCACAATTTACCTGCAATGCACGAGAACGGGTGTTTCCACAATTTACCTGCAATGCACGAGAACGGGTGTTTCCACAATTTACCTGCAATGCACGAGAACGGGTGTTTCCACAATTTACCTGCAATGCACGAGAACGGATGTTTCCACAATTTACCTGCAATGCACGAGAACGGATGTTTCCACAATTTACCTGCAATGCACGAGAACGGATGTTTCCACAATTTACCTGCAATGCACGAGAACGGATGTTTCCACAATTTACCTGCAATGCACGAGAACGGATGTTTCCACAATTTACCTGCAATGCACGAGAACGGATGTTTCCACAATTTACCTGCAATGCACGAGAACGGGTGTTTCCACAATTTACCTGCAATGCACGAGAACGGGTGTTTCCACAATTTACCTGCAATGCACGAGAACGGGTGTTTCCACAATTTACCTGCAATGCACGAGAACGGGTGTTTCCACGAGTTTCCTCTTCTCTCCGATCAGTTTGATAAAGTTAACGAACTGAGCCGGATCATCAGGTGTGCCGTGGTGGGGCCAGCCTGTGTAGTGTAGGTGAGTTATTGTCTTGTTGATGCCATCTTGGGATACTTCAAACTCACGTTCTATCCCTCCGTCCTGAGGGGGGTTGTTGTGAACATCTGGAATTTTCTAATCTATTCAACTGCCGTGCTCTGCACAGGTTAGATTAGCTGACGGACCTCAGATCAAATATAAAATTAACATGGGCAGTTATTTCGTAAATAGGAGAGCAAGAATCTTATATTTTAGTAGGCTCTCTAATGCCAACAATACCTGTTCTCTACAATACTAAATACTTACGAATTCAGACTGAGTGACACAGGAGACCTCTATATTCCTGTAGACAGCTGTCTGCGTAGGTTCCGGCCAGTATTGAGTACACTTTATACTCTTCTTCTCAATACAGTCCACCACCATCACTATCAGCTCTACCTGAGATGTGTGTGTGTGGTTAATAATCGTAGCTGCTGCTGCTGTATTAACTTTATTACACTGTGCAATATCAGGTATATCATGAGATTAAACCACGCAAAACCCACTTGGATACTGGCGTGGTATAGCTATATTGTATATGTATATTATAATATGTTATATCTCAATCTGTATGCAATGTACATTATTGAACTTAAGAGAACTGGAAAATATACAAGATCAGATCATAAGAAAAGGTTTTGGATACTGAGTATTATTTGGATACTGAGTACTATTAACGAATTAATAATGAGTATTATTTACTAATTAATTAATTAACTAATTAACTAATTAATAATGCGCACCTCTTGTTCCCATATCATCTGCCAGTGATCGTCGATAGTGCTGCTCATAGGTCCTTGAGAGGCGATGTAGCTCAGCTGGTCAGAACCCACGGACACGTCCACGTAGCTTGCGTTTATGTAGTCGTTCCCTTCTTGTAGCCTCACCCTCGTCGTGTCATCTGAGGTAGTGTAAGTAGTTTCATAAGTAAAAAGGTTTCATAAGTAAGAAGTTTCATAAGTAAAAAGTTTCATAAGTAAAAAGGTTTCATTAAAATACCCTGGTTAAATCAGCTGCAAAACGCGAAACTAAAGGAAATATGTGAGGGGAATTGTATTGACTGATAGAGTGTCCTTACATGGGATGATATCTCTGAATCTGTTTTTGCTGTGATTCTCGTCTAGTTTAGCTGCTACCATGGTAACGCCCGGAGTCTGTCTGTACAGGTTGTTGAACCTGTTACTCAGGGTCCCGTCTTGTAAACTCTGAAATAACAGTTAGTCATCAACAACCTTCCATATGCGTCTCGATTCTTCAATTAGCAGTTCGATTTTTATTGCGAGTCGAAATTCGAAATTTAACTTTCTAGAAAATGAGCTTCACTACCTTTTGAAGTATGGTGATAGATCTATCCAGAAGATTAGCAGTGTCGGGATTGAACTTTGGTAACTCCGGCAGCTCGTACGATCGAGAGTTACGTGATGCGTCTAAATCATCTGATATCTGTCTTGCGTTCATTACTGAGGGGGAGAAACAGAAGTTTTAATCTCACGACCTTGTAGAGCTATTCGGTAACTAATAACACCGAAGGTGATTTAAGTTCAGTTATTATTATTAAATCAAAGTTCTTAACAAGGGATAGTTAAAAAACAACGCCCAAGTCTAATCTTTCCCTAAAAGAAAAAACTAAATATCAAAAACTTCATTGTAATTTCTGCCAAGATCTCTTGTCAATACATAAGCTAAATTACGGAGATAATGCAGATCAAATATATTTAAGTTCAATATTCAAACGAACGTTTGAGTTCAATATTCAAACGAACGAATTTAACGAGTGATTTTGATTATATTGTCCTAATCACACAACAGGGGAGTGACATTATTATACATATATATTGTACATCTGCAGAACATCGGACCAGAAACTCAAGTGTTTGATCAGTGATCAAAATAACAGTCTAGTTGCATTATATTATACAAATAAAAGTAGAAAAGGTAAAACTTTGTGACCCAAAAGATTAAAATCTCCATACCACTACGCCACTAACACCAAATGTACTGTAATACATACTGTAATGATACGTAATAATATATAAATAATATCCATACCTGATCCACCAGGAGGCTTCCTGACCACCAGGTTAAGTTGTCCGTACTGAGTTGAGGAGGATTGGATCATGCCGACAATCTGCTTGTGATCCAGAGGTTCTACCTCAGTGTTGTTAATACTGACCACCTGGTCCCCTTCCTCCAGACAGGGGAGTGCTGCTGCCGCCTAAACCAACAGATAATACTTAACAACAAAGTGATAGCAGATATATACTAGTCCTAAAACAGGCTAATCTTGCGAATCTGAGTAAAAAATATAGTTCATCATGTAAATCTTAACGAAGAATATAAATCTTCTAATTGTAGGTATATTAAAGTATATTAAAATGTAGGATTTTTTCCGATTTTGACCCGGGGATATACTTTAATATACTTTAATATGATTGCCCCCCCCCCCCCCAGTTTTTTAACTATATTCCAAAGAACACAGAACTCAGAAGGATACTAAATACAATACTATACACTATACTAGATACAATGCTATACACTATACACTATACTAGATACACTGTTTTCTCACCGGAGATCCTCTGGCCACTTTGCTGACTATAACAGGCATTTCCTGATCGTATCCTCCTCGTACATTAAACCCGAACTTCCCTGATGCATCAGGCATGATCGTTATATCAACACAGTCTTCTTGATCTTTCGCTCCGTTCACTGGAAAAAGAGGTAGAATGAGTGACTTACAAAATAAGAGGGGGATGTAATGATCAAATTAGGGAAAAACATGAATAAATTGTAATACTTTTACAATAGACAATACTTCAGGCTTACCTGATGGAGTGCTAGTGTTGAGGGTGCTATCCAGGTTGATTTCTATCTGACCTGTCTTGGTGTCGTAGTCGAACCGAGCATTAGGAGTCACTGCCTCGTCCCCTGATACGTCCGAGGGGGTGCTGGCGTGGTTTGGAGATGTTCTGAAGTGGATCAGGGCTGTCAAGGATGTTTTGGGAAACATAATTTTAAATTATACTGTACAAAAATAAAATGTTCAAAAACACGTATAAGCTAGTTTTGATCCCTTGTTCATTTAAACTAATAACTACTAAAAAACAGTAAATATATCTTACGGTGATGCGAAGTCGAGGTTTTCATTTTCGAACTCCTTTTTGACGGGAGTGCTATTACTGTTATCATTATCATTCAGATAGAAACTTCTCTCATTATGATTATTTTTGCTGGCATTATGATTGTTGTTTGTGTTAGGAGAAGCTATTTTCCTTCTGGAAACCCTCTTGCTAGGTGTTCGCTCGAAGTTGCTGTTTGTTCGGACCAAGTTGTTGTAGTCCTCGATAGCTTGTTTCTGGGTTCTGCCCTTGTAGTGGTGTTTACTGCCCAGCCTCAACACTCCTCGTGAGGGGATGTCACGTGGTGTGTTTAGTCTGAAATATTTACCAAGTTGAACATTTCAAATACAGGTTAAATAGAAGTCAAAGGAATGCTCAAATTTTTAATAATTGAAAATGATCGGATAATGTTAGACTTATAGAGTTGATTCAATACCTGAAGAAAGTATGATACTCGACACATCTTTTCCACACATTTTTGCATGCTCTGTACGGTACGATCTTGAAGCCAATGATCTGAGATTGATATTTGTCATCGTTATCTGCTCGTATGTGAATGTAGAACTTCTTCTTCTTGAACGAGATCTTGATTATCTTCGCCCTGGAATTCGATTAATAAGACATCTATATTACGCTCAAATTTTGACAGTTTGTCAACCTAGAGAATCGTCAATTCAGAAGTGCCATTAAAAAGGCTGTACATTTACACAAAACTTTCCATATTTGAACTTACCACGAGAAAGAGTTAATCTTGTTCTCCTTCAAGTAAACAACAATACCGCTTGCCATAACTCCCAGTTGAAGCTGGATATTCTCGTGATCGATTGCTGGGTGGAAGTCAACTCCGAATGTTGGCAACCGTTTGGCTATCTGATGAGAAGATATGTCAGAAGTTTAATAAACGGTCACGTTGAGGTACCAAGTGCAAACCCTTACAGTTTAAAGTCATGTCACTAGATGGGAGCCATGGATATGCTGTCAAAATGCAGCTGAAACCAATATAATTTGTCATTTCCAGTCCACACTTATAAGTGATGAGAACTGAAGGTAAGAAACCATATTTTAATTGGCAATACTACATAACTTGGATGGGTGCCAGAAAAGTGAGAACTATTTGTATTATTGGTTTCAATTTATTGCGATGACATTTCGACGGGGCAGGTTTTGATGGATATCCTGTGTTTTATCAAATATTGTATACAAACGTTATCTATAAACAGACCATCCTGTACTTTTTAGAATTCAGATAATTGTAAAGGAAAATGAAAGTAAATTAAACTGAGCGAAATGGTTCGCAGAGCGAACGTAGCAGCCTAACAGAAATAAGCAGCCTAATAGAAATAAGAATCAATTTTACCTCCAGGAACTTGTATTCTGCATCCTCGCACTTCATCCCCACACATTTTCTATGTTGTGCTGCAATCTCTTCGTCTTCATGGGACGACTGTAGATACATCAAGTTAGAAACCCAGGATTACTTATAAATAGAACACTTTAAATTTTCATCTCCGTGGGGACAACATGGTGAAGCCCACTTCAATCAGAAATCTCAGATAACGAAGTTGAGATAATTTCCCTGATCGCCTCTCTTCTGATAACATAACTTGATATTAACCTGACTGGGCAGAAGTCTGAGCTCTGAAACGTAACACCGCATGTCATGACGTCACATTACATGTCATGACGTCACACTACATGTCATGACGTCACACCACGTGTCATGACGTCACACCACGTGTCATTACGTCACACCACTTCTGATAATATAACTTGATATTAACCTGACCGGGCAGAAGTCTGAGCTCTGAAACGTAACACCGCGTGTCATGACGTCACACTACATGTCATGACGTCACACCACGTGTCATGACGTCACACCACTTCTGATAATATAACTTGATATTAACCTGACTGGGCAGAAGTCTGAGCTCTGAAACGTAGCCAGGAGTATGATTAGCAGGGTCGTAGTCTCCTAGCTCGGCGTGTACCACAAACGAGGCCAGCTGGGTGGCTGTTACAATGTTGCAACTTAATCTGAGGTGGTTTGCTTGTTAAGATTTACCCTAGCTGGACGACGTACTAAAAACGTAGATATTCGTTCGTCTCAGCATTATACATATTACACATTAAAATAATATATTTACAAAGAGTATTGTTAGTATCAAACTCACTTTCCGGAAAGCAGATCTTGTCTCGATTGTAAATAAAACAGGTACCTGAAGGGTTTCGGGGTATTTATTTCATAATGCTAAATATAGCACATTTATTAATTGTTAAAACAGCACATGTTACTGTCACGATTCGACTTCAATACGAGAAAATACTGGATATTCGAGGTGCGCGGCGCGATTTGGCGGCGATAGTTCGATGAAGATGAAAACTTTCATTAACACCAAAAGCTTCGCGTGTCCAAAAAGTAAATCATTAGAGCCATTCCTCGTCCCAATAATAGTGGCCCTTCTATGCGCTACATTTAAACAAGCAATCAAAATAAAATCATTTCTTTCGGCCACCTCAGTCCACATTTGATACACATTTCATAGATTACCATTAGTCAGAGACGACCGTGAACTTGCTAAATCGCAGCTAGAAATACATGTTTTTAAAAGGATGTCCAGGTTCGGTTACCGCAAAGATACCAAATTTACCTAAGCGGTAAATTTACCTCTCCTCACTAACACAAAACAATTATCATACATTTTAATTAATACATTTAATTAATACATTCCTACATTCCTACCTTGTGTACTCCTCTGACAGTTTTCCGGGTTCCGCGACGTAAAACTTTACACAAAACTTGAACTTGAGTATGTGTTCACCTGTAATTTCAGAATGCTATTATTGTACATCCGGACACTGCGCCGTAAATAATTTCTCAGTATCATACAAATTAGAGGACAGACAATGTACATAATTTAGCGAGAGTTCAGAATGTTAGGAATTCTGCCAAATTCCAATCATACCTCTGTTCTGTTTCCGTATCTTTTTGTGCGACTCTAACCAACACTGAAATATTTCAACATGTTGGCCACAATGTCACTGAATATGTTGACACTTATAATTGGTGCTAAGAGTGGAGTGAGTTGATAATATTACTCAAAGAGGGGCGGCGATGAATGTTTTGTTGAAATATAAGCTACCTCTTTGAGTATAACTACGCGCGAGATCATTGGCATTTATCCGATAAATATTTATCATTGGTATCATTATATTCAATGTAACATTCATCAATCAACATTATCCTCCCACAATATATCATGATGTAAGACTTTGTATGTGCAGGCTGTGTGGTATTGATGTAATGTGAGGGAGGAATGCTTGAATAAACAAACTAATAGATAACCGTGACATTGTGCTTATTTATCATGTAAACGTGACAATGTGCTTATTTATCATGTAAACGTGACAATGTGCTTATTTATCATGTAAACGTGACAATGTGCTTATTTATCATGTAAACGTGACAATGTGCTTATTTATCATGTAAACGGGACAATGTGCTTATTTATCATGTAAACGTGACAATGTGCTTATTTATCATGTAAACGTGACTAAAATACACTCTCCGTAATGTGTGTAGTTGGTGAAGGTTTGGGGCGGGGCTGAGGAAATATATATAAGTTGAAAATGTTCGTGTGCAAGACTAAACCAGCTATTTGTCAAACTGTCTATTAGTCTATTGCATACCAAAGATGAAAGATGTTGGGCCAAAATAATACGCCTGGTCAACTGGCCTTATATTCCTTTCTATTGAATCGAATAGTATGTTTACTAGGCGCAGGAGCAATTCAATTTACTCTTGAATTTAGAAATTTTAGTATTTAAAATTTCAATGAATGAAAGGAGATAAGGAATGTTTCTACGTAATAAATGTTGGGATCATTTGTATGTACATAATATATTTCTACGTATATATGGCGTAGGCACAGGTTGCAGCATTAAAGCCTTATGTATTAATATTTTAATCATTGTAACGTGTATGATCCTGTTTAATAATAATAGTGTCAAGTTGTCATGTCTCTGTCACACATTATAATTATAATATGAGGATGTAATATGTAATAAAAGTCGTAATATTTCCAAAACAATCATGTATGTTATGTTCGCTGCAGCTTGTGTGTTAAAACTTAAAAGTGAAAAGGCGGAGATTTTTCCAAAATGTTTACCTTGAGCCCTTAGTCTCGTGTAAAATAGATATTTTACTCGATAACAAACCTAAAGAACCACCGTTAAATCGGTTGTTCAAATAATTACATTTGCAATGCTACAATTTGACATTTAAACAAGTTTCTTATCTTCGCAGTTAAATCTCTATTAAGCTAATTACGCCAACGTTTAAAAATACCCAATGAATTACCAGTATTTGTGGCGCAACAATTGTGACGCAAAATTTGCAATATCTGTGACGTCAAACATTTCAAAATATCGACCTATGCTACACCAAATGTGCATGATAGTAAACAAATCACTGGTAGTAATAGTATTCATCACAAATATCTCTCATAAGCCGATGATCCTTCCCTATTCAATTCTAATTTTAAGAAAATTATCGCCAATTTTCTTGAATATTCATCACCTCAGTCGTACATATCAGCCTATAATTATCCTCAAGTACATCCCCTCCCTTTTCTACCAACTACCCAGTACCCAGTGACTAACTGTGTAACGTTTATCAGAATTATAACCATCAGGGCAACATTTTGCAGAAATTCCGCACGGTAAACAAATTATGGTCACCCCACCCATCTGCATCAACACAGCGTTTGCCGTTCAGCCGTGAGCTGACTGACAAAAATCAAAGGGACGTGAATATAAAAAAGGGATGCTGAAAATCCGATCATTATTCAGTACTTACTGTAAGTCCAGTTTCGTTGTCAGTATAGAGTAGACCAAAGTAGTCCTTCTCCACAAGGTCCAGCCTTTTGAACGTCTCCTCAAGCAGCACAACACCCTTACTCTGCCTCTGAAACACACATCAGTTACATTCCTACTACTCCTCTCAAATATTTGATATATGTTTACAGACAATAGACATTGCTTACATTCCTGGTGGTAAATATTAGAATTAGATATTTTAGGAGTGGTTGGAATACCATACTTCCACTGATCACTGAGTTATATCAGTTATTTGTGTCTATTAGGGTATTGGAATGTATTTAAAGTGTGTGTTGTAACATGAACATTATAACCCAGTGAATTGTTTTCAGTGGTTTTCTTTTCCAAATTCTTTAGAAAAACATTTATCGAACCTCTGAAAAGGTGCATGTCTAGACTTTTTATTGGTCTTCGCATAAAACATTTTGATAAGTTTAAGAAAATTCACTCCAAAGCAGTTCTCTTCATCTATATTTCAAAGCAGACTCCACAAAAAGGTTGTGTGCAAAATAATGATATTAGTAGTATACAGTATATTACATTATATGTAAGAAATGTGGGAGGTAGAATATCATGCTGTGCGGGTTAGGTAAATACCACGTCATATTCTATTAATAGCACAATCACCCCGCCTAGCGGTAATTAGATAATCCATGTGAGCTCACTCATTAGGAATCAGGAATCGTTTTAAAATTTACCAGCAGATAGTACTCGCTAAGCAACAAAATGTTCCTGTAGCTGGAATGTAATTAAATAATAAGCCGGTAATTCCCGCCGTTCATGACATTTTGTTGAGACATTTTGCGTTAGTTTACTCGGATAATTTGGATTATGAATCTAATAACGATAAATTCGTACCCACATAATATGTTACACAGTTAAGTTGCATACAATTGGAATCATATTCGCGGAAATTTGATCTAGAAAAAGGAATAGCATACGGCCAGTCATGAAAACTCATTTATGGCGTACAAAGATAAATGACGATAAAGAGACCATTTGTTGCAAACCATAAAATCCGCAGAAAATTAGTGGTAATTTCATATTGTGAATTTGAAACCATGCTGGTTACACCCGAGTACATAAAAATGGAATATTTTATGTTGTACTATATGAAACGTGGAAATAGGCAAATATTTCCTATATGATGTGAATTTGTGTATTTTTGTTTGGTTTTAATCTACATAATGTGTAGTAGTAATAGTAATGTGTGTAGTAATCTACATAATGTGTACAGTGTACAGTGTAACTCTTAAAGAACTCATCATCTCATACTCCTCAAGGAATTCAGACATTATAATGAGTGTAGTTCTCGTTCATTTGTTCTGTGTAACTGCTACAAACTAGTTGCCATAGTTACACTACTAGTTACACACACACACACACTAAACGGAATGTTAATCACCCTTTATTGTTCCTCCTGATTGTTCTAATACTGTACAGTATTAACAACAATCTCATCTTATCTGTAATACTGTACAGTATGATGAATAACAACAATCTCATCTTATAGTTTTGTTAGATTCCAACATTTAGTAAATACTCAGCAGTAACCTCACATCGAACACAATAATTGCTAATTAAAGAACAGTTTATAGATGATGTTACCAGTAATTAATAACCACAATATATTATATACTACTAGTAGTATATGGACACGTTCATTTGAGTTTGAGGATATTGGTAAATATAAGTGACCCTATTAAAAGGCACAGTGTAATTGACTTTGTCACACTATGAAATTACATAAACCCTTGATGGTTAGGATAATCGTCTCATCCTCTAGGCTAACTTTGTCACATAACGATATCTTAATCAGGTGATAAGATATCGCTTAAATACGGCCGGCACGGAAATGGTTACATTGTCACACTATAAAGATGTGACGGAGTAAATATGGACCCCTTGCTGCCGTTTTTGACCAAATTTTTGAGTGTCCAGTTGATTGGATGGGTACATATGACCATTACGTACATATTTGACGACTTTTTTCGTTAGATGGTGCACTCAGGTTTACTCTGTCACACATTTAAGAAAACATGTGAAGAATGTTTAGGGCACCCTGATAAGCAATGCTGAGTAGTGTAGGTTTATTTGATGGCCTGGAAGTGCTAGGAATTGTTATTATATCATATAGTCGTAAGGAATTAAAACACAGAAGGCACAAACAAGTTTACTTTGTCACATAATCTTGATGATATCTGAACATGTGTGAAATTAAACAAATAATGATATACCAGCTTAAACCCCCTTATATAACGTACTATGGATCAAACAACACTGCTAGTATCATGCACCAGTCACATGAATCATTATCAGGTGGTAATATGTTAACAGTGTCACAATTAAACTACCACAACATGGTCAAAATAGGGTAATTTCGTCACAAAAAAATTATTATAACTCTGTTAGCTCCTTGCTGGCAAAATAACTAGTTTATCGAAAATTTGTTGATGATTAAGTTACATAGTATTCTAATAGAGGTATAGTTCTTCAAAATAGGGGCAAGACATGTTTACTTTGTCACATCGCATCAGTTATTATAAGAGTTAGGTAATCGTCATCAGATTAAAAGATATTTTTCGTAGTTTGGATCGATTAATAAACCTGTAATAAAGCATCCTATGCCAATTTTAACGTGCACTATCTTGATATTGTTGGGGCAGGGAAAGTTAATTTTGTCACATTTTCAGTGTCATTGACAAATTAATCTAAAATTGTTAAAATTGAGCTCTGATGTTCTGGACAATATTCTTCCAATCCTTTCTGAAAGAATGTTGAATTCTAATAGTGTTATAGATCTTCAAAATAGGGGCAAGACATGTTTACTTTGTCACATCAGATATTATAAGAGTTAGGTAATCGTCATCACATTAACATATATTTTGTAGTTTGAATTTATTTATATAGGCAATAAAGCATCCTATGCCAATTTTAACACACTATCTTGATATTGTTGGGGCAGGGAAAGGTAATTTTGTCACATTTTTAGTGACTTTGACAAATTTAACCTAAAATTGTTAAACTTAAGAATGTTGAATTCTAATAGAAGTATAGAATATAGATCTTCAAAATAGGGGCAAGACATGTTCACTTTGTCACATCAGTTATTATAAGAGACTATTTCATTCTATAATCATTGTTTTTAACCTATTTACTATTTCGCATAATTTTTTGTGACAATGTAAACATCAACTGATCTTAACTTGCATCAACTACATTGTCATCATATAAAGTTTTCCCGCCTTTCAAACCAAAATCAAATATAAATAATTCGCCCAAAATTTAAAATGTCATATATTGTGACAGAATTAACCTCATTTCCCAATAACCAAGTGCCTGTATTAGCTAACTATTCAAAACAATATATTTTAGGGCTATGATTGGTAGAGCAACCATCAAATAATGAGTTGAAAGGGTTTTTAGGACACCTCACAGTAGAATAGAGGTATGGTATCATTAGTGTGACAAAGTTACCCAAATATTGCCTTGTAACCGTTCGATCCGTGCCCATTAACCAATGTTGTATCATAATTGTAAGATTGACCTAATTTACTATATTTCAGACCAAGGAATGATAATTAGACAACTGCAGTTAACTAAGTCACACAAAATGTGACATTTGAAACATTATAGTGCCTAACAACAATAGATTTTCTTTCTGAGCGGTGCATATGGGAGTATGGGTTACGTGGCTAATGTTCAGAACTTCTGAACGTGCTAGGTTAATAGATGTCAAAATTAAGCCACTATCGTCGAAAACGCTATTATTTTTGTTTACCAATATCCTCAAACTCAAATGAACGTGTCCATATAGTATATAAGTATATCATAAACTATATAATACTACTATAACTACCTCCAAATTTCTCTCAATCAGCCAAATATCATTGTATTCCATACAAACGTAGTACAGTACTGGTAGCTGCTATAACTATTATATAAGAAGCAGGAGAGTAATAATTGTGCAGCTGTAAGTGGGGTGGCAATAACCCGCACATGTCATTACACTTGTCTCTACCGGCGGCGTGAGACGTTAGTTTCCAGGAAACTGCCGGAGTTTCTCCTACAACCAATGGCAAGCACAGAATACCCGCCAATTTATACTCATATATTATATCCTACACTGAGTACACACACACACACACACACACACACACACACACACACACACACACACACACACGCACGCACGCACGCACGCACGCACGCACGCACGCACGCACGCACGCACGCACGCACGCACGCACACACACACACACACACACACACACACACACACATACACACACAAAGACGCAAATAATAATAGAAATAATAACGGCGGGTTACTTGCCATATTGCTATCATAGTTCATACCGATATATTACACAGAGTGTTAGTCGCCCCCAACTAATTTGTTCCTCTCACAGTCTCTGCATGTTGCACACAACAATCACAAGTCTCTGAAGTCTGAATTATACTGTGTCTAAACCACCTGTTACTAGTTACGGGTTGTGCAGTGTGTTTGTAAACTAGTGTTAAAGTAAGACTTGTTCAGGTACTAAGATACTAGGATACCTGTTCAGGTACTAAGATACTAGGATACCTGTTCAGGTACTAAGATACTAGGATACCTGTTTAGGTACCAAGATACTAGGATACCTGTTCAGGTACTAAGATACTAGGATACCTGTTTAGGTTCTAAGATACTAGGATACCTGTTCAGGTACTAAGATACTAGGATACTTGTTCAGGTCCTAAGATACTAGGATACCTGTTCAGGTACTAAGATACTAGGATACCTGTTCAGGTACTAAAATACTAGGATACCTGTTCAGGTACTAAGATACTAGGATACCTGTTCAGGTACTAAGATACTAGGATACCTGTTCAGGTACTAAGATACTAGGATAGCTGTTCAGGTACCAAGATACTAGGATACCTGTTTAGGTACTAAGATACTAGGATACCTGTTTAGGTACTAAGATACTAGGATACCTGTTCAGGTACTAAAATACTAGGATACCTGTTCAGGTACTAAAATACTAGGATACTTGTTCAGGTCCTAAGATACTAGGATACCTGTTCAGGTACTAAGATACTAGGATACCTGTTCAGGTACTAAGATACTAGGATACCTGTTTAGGTACTAAGATACTAGGATACCTGTTTAGGTACTAAAATACTAGGATACCTGTTTAGGTACTAAAATACTAGGATACCTGTTTAGGTACTAAGATACTAGGATACCTGTTTTCTTGGAGCGTTACCAGATCACTTAGAGAACGATCAATAAAATTAATAATTTTAGCCCGATAAAATAGTGGCGTATTGCAACACTGCAACAGATGAAGAATATCTTGTAATTAGGGGATTAGGTCGACATTACAACTCTACTTGTGTGTGAAGTATATGTTGCATTTGGACACCAAGGGAAACACAATACTGTACACCAGGTCCAGTAAGCCAACTCTCATCATCATCATGCTAATCTTAATTCTTCACAAGGATATATCCTGCAGACAATATAGAGCCGACAGAGGTAAGATGTAATAGAGGGGATGCAACATCAAACACCACTTAGACAGCAACTAATAGCTTGCTGCTTCTACTGATGTACATTGTACCTACATTTATCATCATAGCGTTATTCTATAACGTAGTGAGTTGATAAGAGCGTGTAGATGACTGATATGTAATGCCATTATTGCAATGTACTCTACAAACGACGGGACAAGCGGTACTGCTGCTTCTAAGACAAAATAAAGTGATCCAAATTTTTATGTGCTTTTTTTGCTTATCATGTTATGACTTATGATACTTCACTAGCAGCTAGAGTAATTTAATTTTACCAGATACAAATTATCAAGGGACCAGCATTCCATTTACAACACGTGTGCTAAGTCCTGTAATTCTAAGAGTTCTAAGTGTATATTGTTTACTGTATACTGTACAATATCCTCTGTACTGGCGACTTTATTTATGGCTCAAAGATCACTCAGTATTAACTCAGCTTTAACATGGCAGGACTTTAAATCTATCATTAGATTAAGTGACATCAGTTTCTTGAGTATTCCACCACTACTTCCCTCTAAATTACATAAAGGACAGCTGTTTTAATTTCATATTTTCTCTCTTAAGAAAAGTAGCAAACTGTAATTATATTAGAATTCTAGAACATATTATTATGGTCTTTTAATAACATGGAATATTTTCTAATCATCTTAATACAATGTGTTCTTTATGTATCATAGAAAATTCAAGTAGGTTCTAGATGGAAGGTTCTAGATAAAATTTTAAAATATCCACAATTATTATTTTTATCAGCTGTTTGCTCTTTACAAATTGACACATCGAAGCTGGAAGTACAATAGTATAATCTAATAACACATTATTTAAAATATTTCTACTGACATGTAGAACTAGCATTTAAAATACTTTAATATTTCAGTAACTACTGTTAAAAGGTATCATAATATGTATCTGGAGTTAATCTACCAAAGCTAACAGTATTTAATAAGTTAAAAATCTATAAACTAGACGGGACCCAAAATCAAACAACACTTAGACAGCAACTAATGGCTTGACGCTTCTATTGATGTACCACCATTATATTGCATACAATTATTATATTATAACGTATCTTATATCTGTATCATAGCGACTAAGCTATGGCTCAAAGATCAGCATTAACATGGCGGGACTCTAAATCTATCATTAGATTAAGTGACATCTGTTTCTTTAGTATTCCACCACTACTTCCCTCTAAATTACATAAAGGACAGCTGATTTAATTTCGTATTCTCTCTCTAAAGAAAAGTAGCAAACTTCTCGAAACTTTCTCAATATGTACTAGAGTTGTAGCACATATTATTATGGTCTAGCTTAATCTTGATAAAGAATACATATAGCTGAGCTAACAAGTGAGCCGGCGAATATAATACACCATTGACGTATATTTACACCATCACCATAGCCTCTTAGTATATACATCACTGAGTGGAAATACTTGATTATAATAATCACTAGAGTATCATGTAGTCAGCTAATACTATAGGCTGCATGCAACGTGTCACACTGCTACAAGGAAATGCATTTTCGTCTACCGCAATTTGTCTGTTAAATTAACAGTCTGTGTTTTGTGTACAACACAGTTAGTCAGTTACTTATAACACTGCGAAAATACAAACCATTTGCTACTACTCCGTATTATTACGTATTGAAGACCAAATGGAACACAGTACACACAGTACACACAGTACACAGTACACTGCACAGATCACCCGGCCCTAATTAATTTAGAGAAGAACATTTTATGACAAGGACATTGGTTTCGGACCTATGAAATTGCTTGACACAGCAAAATGAAATTTTATTACAAATTGTGCAGGTCTCTGAATGGACTCCTAGTATGAAAACGCTGTACTTATTAAATACTGTTAGTTTTGGTAGATTAACTCCTGATACATAATATGATACCTTTTAACAGTAGTTACTGAAATATTAAAGTATTTTAAATGCTAGTTCTACATGTCAGTAGAAATATTTTAAATAATGTGTTATTAGATTATACTATTGTACTTCCAGCTTCGATGTGTTAATTCGTACAGACCGCAGTAATACATCAAACAGCTGATAAAAATAATAATTGTGGTTATTTTCTTGAATACAATGCAGAGAGATCATTTTAAAATAATTCATGTTAGTTTAACAAAGTTTCTTTTTACTTTTTGGCAAATGTTTAACCCCCCCCCCCTCCATAAATAGTTCTTTACAGAGCTATTGTGTTACAATTACACATAATCATCCGGGAATCCCTTCCTTCCCCCTCAGTGATAACGTGAACAAACCATAATTCAATCTTAAACGTCCCCATTTTTCTAGAATTTTCTAGAAGTTCCCAAGAGATATTCATCAGCACAGTTATTAAATTCCCAAGACCATACATTTTTCTGTAACATAGCAAAAGCTTATAGCATTACAATGGAGAGACCTTAAACAAGAGACCTTTAACAACATTTAGCAATTTTAAACACAACTGTTTCGAAACATAAATTTGGTTCAATAAGGCTGAGATTTCACCAAAATTAGTGACAAAGCAAGATTTCCGAAATTACCTCAATCTCAATGTTCATGGTGTTGTCATCCAGAAGGTCGACAAAACATGTCATCATCTTCTTTTTACTGGACTGGCTAGAGTTCAGATCCGAGTCTTCTTGGACCTTATAGGTCCCTTGTTTACGTCGGAAACTGGTCATCTTCCTGTCAATTTACATAGCACATCTGAGAAATAACAATCTTCATCTCTGGAAGCAATAATCGATCAAATTGTAACAATAGCATACTGATTTATTAGAGAAACAGGTTCAGACCACCTCCCGGCCTGGTTCACCAGCGCAGCTCAATCTACAAGTGTATTCAATTGTACACTTGGACCTGAACCCAGAAGCTAACCGAACCTGCACCAAAATTGAACACAGTAAGGCAATACCAGACCAGTGAAATTGCGTATTATATATATTTTAGAACCCCCTATGTAAGCTTATATACAAAAAGTTATTGCATAGAAATATAGGACCTTCTCCTATACTAGGAGATCAGGCTCGAATAGGACAGTCAATGAGCAATGAGTTGAGATACTTGAATTATATCCTTGCTAACAATTTCTACCTTAGTACAGAGTGTAGGGACTTTTGAAATAAAAACCCTGCTCATGAAATCAATTCAGGAGGCCACCTATAGAGTACATAATGTCTTAGATAATCCCTGTGGTCGAGTCTCAAATGAGGGGGACCTCACCGAAAAAAATGTTTAGGGTGCCCATCACTACACCCACTGGATGATGATCATGTCAATAGTCTCGATTAGATTTGATTTTATTTCCAGACTGAAGTAACCACAAGGGCTTGAACATAAAACCTTCTGATTAAAACCTATGAAAGCGAAAACTATCCTAACAAGCCCCCTTATTAAGACAAACTAAGCATTAACTTTGTTGCCAGTTTTAGAGGTATGTCATGATGTAAAATTTGAACCCCGGCTACAGAAGGTAAACGAGGGTGAATGTCTCAACCCAAAGACTATAACAGGTGACCAAGTTCGGCTTGACGTATCTGCTAGAGGAGTTTGGACTCCACTTGATAAGACCTTTCTTGACAATATGGTTTCATACCCCAATTGCTTATCAAACAGGACAAAGAATCTTCAAGAAGTATATGAAGAGAACGAGAAGGAGGATGAGTACTTAAAGAGTGTTTAATGTGGAGAAGGCAACCTTCACCCCAGCTGTATTTCTCACATCTGGAGGATAGATGATATCTATTTCTCAGGATTTACGATTGTGCTCTGCCAATTGCATCACTTGATTTAATTGAATGTATATATTGATTGAATGACCCGTTTAAAATAAAATGAACAGGCTTTAAGTTTTTGACATGGCAGATAACACTCTGTCAAATGATCAGGAAACCGTCGCTTTAATTTTATGCTTAAGTTTGATTGACGATGCCAATCCTTCCCGCTAGTATATTGCAATCAATGTGAAAAAATGCCAACTACCAATTGGAAAGAAGTGACGTATGTGCTACAAGAGCCGCGCGCTGAGTTAGATTATAAAATTTGATTATTTGATTGTAACGTTGCATAAACGCGCCTACTTGCTCGTTTTAGAAGGTTCAATTATGCCAGGCTCGTTGACGGGTGATACTAGTAAAATATCTGTTCCATATATTGGAACAGGACCGTCGACGAGTCCAACTCGGCGCGCGTCCTGGTAGGTTGTAAACCCACAACAGGCTCGCTATGTTTATGAACATAATAGCCTGGGATCCCCCAGGAAAACCAAGACGCGAGCCAAGTTGGACTGATCGTCGACAGTCAATATTTGGACCGCCAAATACCATTTATAATTAACAGTGGGTTTGCTATAAAAGATTTCGCAAATTTTGCATTGTTCATTGTAGGTTTACAACCTACCAGGACGCGCGCCGAGTTGGACTCGTCGACGGTCCTGTAAATGGAACAGATATTTTACGAGTATCACCCGTTAACATTGTTCATTGCATTATTGTAGCGCGATGCACTATTGGGCCGCGTCGCGCATCAAATAATTCTTCTCGTAGATCGGCAAATTAATGCATCATTGGCCCTCACAGAGCTGCAAAGGATTGACATCGTGAATCAAGTTTATTATAGTGTACCATGGATTTGGTCCATGCACCATGACCATTGATTACTTTTCTTTTTTACTATTTCATATTTCATATTTCGTCGTGAAATAAAAACTGTTTGAGCTAAGAATGTAAAAATTTGGGTGCACTTCGTGCGCGGCGGGTCATACAACGTATGACAACCAGTGCCAACAGTCCATTAATAATCCCATCAGAAGCTACCAGGCGGCTTTGTGCAATAACAAGCGTGTTAGAGAGATGATATCTTATTTATATATTTTTAATTTATAAAGATATAAGGTTACTGGGCGGCGCTCAGCCTGTCATTCCGCCGAATCTTTATTCGGTGTCCTGGTCACGTCTTCTCAGATGCTTCCATACAGATTGTTGATTATGTTGATTCTGACATGTCCACCGATGTCAAAAATGATTTACTTCTTCTGGAGGATTACTGGATAGAGAAGCTTGGGACAGCATTCCCTCTTGGTCTTAATGACAAGAAGAAAGGAACGGGCAACATCTCCTAAGATCGGGTTATGAATTATTTTAGTGGACAGATTGCTCGATACAAACGTGGCAGAGGGAATGGAAAGAAGAAAGTTCAGCCTAAGAAGTCTCTGGATACCATAGAGTCTGATATTAACAGGCTGAAAGATAACATCTCTTCAGAACATTCCATATACAAAACATTAAAATGTTATAGCTTATCAGATTTAGACACTCTCTACTCTTTGAGTCAAAATAATTCAGGATTGATTTACAACGTATGTTCCTCTTTCTGTTCAACATTTTCCCCCAAATACCATCAGAACAAATCTGAATCCAGTAATAGAGAATTTATAATTGTTCCATTTAATTGCAAATTCATTGATAATCTTAACCTAAAATCTATTTTCTCTGACACTTCAGTCATTGATTTGCTTCCCATTTTGATTCAGTCTTTTACACCATTACAGATTTATTATGAGTATAATGATCCTATAAGTCTTTCTGGGGGGGGGGGGGGGGGGGGGTCAACCTCATTTTACCTCATTTTACCTCATCCCAATTTTGCCTTTTTTGGCTGGCCTCATGAGGTAAAATGAGGTAAATTTCGGCAAAAATTTTTAACAGGTAAAATTCTCTAAATCGTCAATTTAGTCACGAAGGAGTATGGAAGGAGTTCTAAATGTGTGCTCCTCCAATATAAAGAGTAGGAAATGGTTAACTTTAGTCGAGGTCTCAGGTCTCTACAATGTCGGGAAGTTCCTGCAGGAATTTGCGCATTGCGCTTGAAGCGCAAGATTCACAGCGCCAAAAGCGAAGGTCGTAGAGACATGAGACCTTGACTAAAGTTAACCATTTCATACCATTGCTATATGAGTATGCCACTTTCAGAGTCCTGAACACTCTCCCATATCTCTTAATCGTCAATTATATGAATTTTACCTGTTAAAATATATCATCTTTTACTGATATCAATTTAGTTTAACACTGTTAGTTTTAAAAAAGAAAATAATACTTCACACCAAACCAACACACAATATGAGAATATAAAGAGGAAGGTTTTCTTGGAGACCTGGACCATCAAAATAGTGTACATTGCTGCTGTCATTGCATTGTCAAGACTCCAGAATAAGAGGGTCTAGTTGTGGGATTATGCTGGATAACAGATATGATAAGTGGTAACATCCTACAAAAGAATGTTAGCTTACTAAGGAATTTTCCTCTTATTGAATCATACAGGAAGTTAACTAAGTTCCTCCTAGTCCTAAGCACTATCTTGTTTCAGAGGGAATGAGTGATTTAAAAAGATGAGGCCAAAGAGTTAGTTGTGAAGAAGGCATTTGTACTCTGTAATTTCTAAGCTTATTTTTTTCGATATTTATAGCTATTTACTGATCTTGTTTTGACGTATCAGCAAGAGATCACTGGACCTCGTTAGTTGTTAGTCATGTTATGCTGATCCAGTTAGTGACGAGCTATGAAGTAATTATTCGACCTCATTTAATACTTACCTATCAATGACGAGCTATGAAGTAATCAGTGGATCTCGTCAATGCTCATCCTGTCCGGACTGTCAGTGACGAGTTATGAAGAAATAAATGAAGACCTCATTAATTCCTTGTTCCAAGAAGATATTCCTCAGGTAACAACCCCTTCTGGCTTGCTTCTGAACATAATATGAAGATTCGAAAACCTAGTCAACCTAAATTGGAACTTGTTGACTGCATTGGAAAATGGAGAACAATCGAGAAATGAAAATCAGTGCCAGGATATAATCAAAGTTGAATTCGGAATCCAAGGAAAACCTTCCTTTTTTTATATTATCATATTGTGCGTTAGTTTGGTGTGAAGTAATACGTTCTTTTTTAAAACTAACAGTGTTTTAAACTAAATTGATATCAGTTAAAGATGATATATTTTAACAGGTAAAATTCATATAATTGACGATTAAGAGCTGTAGGAGTGTGTTCAGGACTCTGAAAGTGGCATACTCTGATAGCAATGGTATGAAATGGTTAACTTTAGTCAAGGTCTCATGTCTCTACGACCTTCGCTTTTGGCGCAGTGGATCTTGCGCTTCAGCGCAATGCGCAAATTCCTGCAGGAACTTCCCGACATTGTAGAGACCTGAAACCTCGACTAAAGTTAACCATTTCCTACTGTTTATATTAGAGGAGCACACATTTAGAACTCCTTCATAACTCCTTCGTGACTAACTTGACGATTTAGATAATTTTACCTGTTAAAAATTGGTGAAAAATATGGGCGTGGCCCAAGTCAGTATTATACGAAACCGTAGACACACAAAATTTTTGGTTGTTCCTGATCCTATAGAGCAACTAATTAGAGGTGATATCTAATTATTTGAACGAAAAGTGGTTTTGTGAACCGCCCTTTATTCTACAGCGAATCATGAACACTGAACATGTTCATAAGAACTTAGAATTGTATGAAGTATGAGTTTATATGAGTAATTTATTATGAAATGACCTTTCACTATGCAATTTCGATTAAATTCATGTAGATATCCAATTCAGTTCCATGCACAACTGTTGTTTACATTTGGTCTAGTTAGACACAATTTGTTTCAGAGTGACTCGATAATCGCAATATCAAACTAAGATAT